GGGTAATAGCATATTTACTCGGAATTCTCATTTGATATAGAAGTTATTCAAAGGATCACCTGATGTAGTTCAGGCTGAGGTACTTACGTAAGCGCAGTTCAAGAAAATATGACAAAGTTGTAAGAACTAGGGATAAATCACCAAATAAACAGGGGTGGTCCTTCAAAAGTACAAATATGGTGTCTCTATGCGAACGCTAAAGCTTTTTCGAGATCGAGCACTGAAACATAATTATAAAAGGGCGATTAAGAATGACCACAATCACTATGATCACTTATTTAGCAGTGAGATCAATTGCTACGTGCCATAGATTCACTTAGTAAATGGAAATGTTGTCGTTGAAAAAGTTCTACCCTTTTTCAGTTAAACTTCAATTCACAAGGATCTTTCATAAAAATTGCTGCGAGACTGTATTGAGGTAATACTTTTCAAGCGACCTATCGGAACACAACGTAGTTCATGTTTACGTTAAAAATTTATGTCAAAATTCTTCTAAAACTCTACTCAATAAAGATTTTGTAGCAGAAGTCCCCACAAACAATACATAATTATCAAGGAATTTTCTTTTCTGCCCGTTGTTTCACGATAAAAAGCAAAGAAATGTTCCAGTTTGCTAATTACATAATGGACACACTTCTGTGAAAAGAAAGATCATGACAAACTAGAAAAAAGAGCTTCTGAGCGAGGGGAGGGAAGTTTATAAAAGTGGTTTTCTCCCCAAAATCAGCAAATGTAAAAACGAAAAGAACTCTAAAACAACGCAATCTTTTCCAAAAGTATTGGGTTGAACACTAAGTTTTGCAACTGGTTTTATAACTTCACTCTCATTCAACATGGCGCATTCAAACTTTGGCATTATGTAGAATTCAATGTGAGCTACAAGTGGGCACAAATTGTCTGAATTTTGAACACGAAATAGAAAAGTTTCAGGCATTTTCAAATTTGAGAATTTCTGGGGTTTCAAGCTAAAATGAAGCCTTTAGCAGCCTAGACCATGCGCAGTAATCCGGATTCGCCTACAAATTATTGCTGGAGGTTGACTCCTTTGGCCTAGTAAGAAAGAAACAAAATTCAGGGGCATGTCGAGATTTGGCGTCCTCACAAAGTCGAACGAGTCGATGTACGCAAGAGCTGCTGGGGACGACCGTCAATGACTAAAGAGTCCGAAGCTCAAATTCCGCCGAAACTTCACATGGTAAGTTATTTGACCTGCCGAACGCGAATATCTCATTCATTTGTTGAATCAGCGCCATTTTCCTTGTTTAGGGTGAGACCTCATATCGTACACCTACAGCAATCTTATAAAAAAGCCCTTATCACGGAATTTCACTATCGTTTTCATGATCAGCATGTCGGAGAAAACCCCTATGCCAAGTTTCAGCCAAATCCGTCAAACTTTGAATTTTTCCCCTTCATACCATACACCTACCGTAACCCTCACTGCGACGTCAGAATTTGGTAGGGCAGCAGCTGCGCTTGTAACTTACGTAATAACCAATACAGTGGCAGAATTTGAGTGCACCATGTTGAGTGAGAGGGAAGTTATGAGACCAGTTGCAAAACTTAGTGTTCAACCTAATATAATTGTCACCGGAAAATAAATTGCTGGCATATATGTCCGGGAAAAATTCTGTCGGATGTGGTAGCCTCAAAGTGGTTTCAGGCAGTGGGAAAAAGCAGTATGGGTACGGTTGAATTAGCCTCCTGATTAGCGATTAACTGGTGCTTCTTACGTTTTGGTGCTGGCCGAAGCCGCCCATCTCAGGGGGGATTGGCCGGTTGACGCCATAAGTGATTGATTCAAGGCCTAACTCACAACCACGCCCATTTCGCATATTGAAAAAAAATCTATATTTTGGCAACTAAAGCATTTCATTACCATTACCATTCCATGCAACTTTTCCTCTTCTGACAGTAGTACTTTCTATGTGGCAAATACGAATTTTGTAGATGAAAACGCCGTTCTCAATTTTACGAGAGCGTATTGCTGCACCGTAAACTTCAATCTTCATATTTTGAAGTGAGAATAGCTTTCACTTTTAGAATTCAAAGATGCAAAAGAACACAGAAAGTTTTGTAACTTCCCCACCACAGTGATGAGGGGTGGTATACTTCATTCCATTGTCCCTGGTCGAAACGAAAGAGGGAAGCTGAACAAGGTAGGAAATTACTGCAGCTCAATTTAAAAATTCCATTCCACGACACATCATGAGCAAGTACAGAAACGAGGGTCAAAATCAAACAGAAACAGCAGTGTACAAGAGGTTGGCTATTTCGCGAAGATCAAAATGGCTAACGATTTATATGTAGTGATCAAAGCAAGTTTGTTTTCCTTTTGGACCAGAAGAGTTTCAACGCTGCTAATTTCCAGCAGGGCGTTTTTGAATAATGGATACTTTGAGCTTAGATGCATCCTTTACTGATCGTAACGAAAGACATGCAAGTGTAGGCGGCTTTACTCGTCCAGCTGATTGACACAGCTTTCAAAACTTCCCTCTTTTCAATGAAATGGAATCAATTGGTTTACGTAATTATTCTATTTTCCACTTCGAAAGAAAAAACTCTCCAGCCAAGATGCAAGAGAAACTTTCTGCTTTGTAAATTTGCTTTCTGCTCACTTATAAGGCAAGGATGGTTAGTCGAGTGGCCGTTTGAAATGAGACGTATATTTTCTTGGAGAGCATATAAAGCTGATTTCAAGTCTGCCTCACTTATCTGCGGAGCGTTTTTGGACGAGGAGTTATGAGCGTTTATCAGAGCAGAACATTGAATGTGCCTCATGGATAAAGTTGCTTATGATATCCTGCTTAGACCTCAAGCACTTCCTCTCCGACTTACCTGTACCTCGTTCCGTTAGGATCCATTGATGTTCTTCTTAGTCCTTGTCGGTTGTAACCGCAACAACTCTTTAAAGGAAATAATGAACATTTCAAGTAAATGCTGTTATACAACACGCCATATATCGAGAAACTCGCTATAACTCCCACCTTCCACTCTCAGATGACGACTGCCCTTCCTCCGCATCTCCTGAGTGGCAAGCTGCTTCTTCGTGAGTGAGTCTATATCCTGAAAACGGGTCGATTCCCATCATCACTGTGACAATCGTCAAGAAACTCACCGCCCAATCTTCCACACATTCTTACAAAATGCAGACCTGCCAAGTGATACCAGCTGAGTTCCTTCCAACGCAAAACGCTAAAAACTAGAATGTCAAACTTATCAGACCCTCACCAAAGTCAAAACAATACAAATAAGAGCTACTCCATCAGAACTCAAAAACTGAGGAAAAAGGCGAATCTCTGTAGCTGATGTCAACAAATAGTTGAGCAGCTACTTGCTGATTGATCATAGAATTATTAGGCATTTAACAATGTAACATCCCCTTGTGCAAGCTAGAGTTTAACCAAGGTGATGCTTAAAGGCAGTATCTCATCAAAATTTAGTTGTCGAGATTTTTGCATTTTGCATGCCTGTCGGACCCTGTTTAGCACTGTATGGGCTTAAAATCGCACGAAGTTCCCAAAAACCCCGTTTTCTGGAGGCCCCGTGGAAGCAACGTGGACGAGTTGTACCTTCCAACTTCAGCCTCATCCACAGTGGCAGCAACAGAGGGGAGGTGGATGCCAAGTGGAGGGACATGTTCAAACGCGTAAGGGGGGAGACCGAAGGAGTCGTCCGCGCGTACCAACTCGCTCTCCGCGTACCACTTTGAGCGGATTTTTTTCAGCGTGGAGGGGGTCAAATTGAGTGGAACTTGTTGCAATGGCCTGCTTAGACGTCCCTATAATATAATATGTGAAGATTCGCGCGACCTCAACTTTGGTGAGACACTGCCTTTAAGGATGAATTGCATATGACCCTGAGGGATTTCTTTAAAGTTAATTTTATTATGAACAAGCATTAATATTCTGCCGCTGGACAGATTCTCGTTACTTTTGCAAAGACCACCTACGTTTACTTTCGTTGAATCAATTGACTGAGGATTCTTGGAGCAGTACAAGTCAACCCAACAAAAAGTGAACTAAATCCTGCCAGAATCTTTCCTCGTAAACGTGTGACTCAAGCCCTGCTTCTTCTCCAAGGGAGTTTCCCTTTCTCAAACCAAAAAATTTCTGCGACAGTCTAATCTTTGTCCGTACAATATTTACAGCAAGATCCTTAGATAGGATGCGAGAAGTTTTCCATCCTTATCATAATCTCGTACGTAAGCGTTGTGTCTGCCAGGCACATTAGGATTTTTCATGGTTACGAGCTTCTCAAGATATGACGACATAGTAAGCCCCACTTCTTATGTCGCTTCAGGTGCTAACCATTGAGTTTTGAAACTAAAATTCAGTAATGAAACCGCTCCGATTGAGACCAAATCGGACTCAAGGGTATTCGAGGGTCTCTCTTCAGTAGTTGTTTATTGCGAAGTCGAGCTTCAGCGCCGATATCAGCGAGACCAAAATCTGGATTTAGGGGGTTTCCGAGGTTGCTTTTTACGAACCAGACCAATATTCAGCTTCACAATAATGATATGTTTTGTGCAATATTACAAGCGATGTAATTTTTTCGAAGGTTTTTGAAGGCAGAAAATGTTTTTATTGAAAAAACCTATCAGATGCAGAGATACATATGTGCTTCCGTACTTAACTGCGACCCATGGTCCCAAGGTCAGGTTTCGCTGTTTTTTTTTCTTCGAATTTTTGTGCTGATTTTCGAAGAAGTCAAGTAGTATATGAATGAGGTAGACCCCATAGGATGCAAAACAATTCTTCCTCTTCCATAGCTCACTTCCCAAAATTTTTGAGAATATTTTTTTGATGCCATTTCCATATATGGTCGACTCGGATTTTATCCGATGCACTTTCTCTTCTTTCAAAAAGATGTTTCTAGTTTCCCATTCGTACAGTCAAGTGGCGCCCCAAGCTGTAGAAAACTCAAGGTATGATATTCCGGAACCCTGAACATTCGTTTGCATTTTAAAGTTAGTGGTAAATCATATACCACTGAAAATATCAAAATTTGAGAATTTATTGGTGTTTGACGAGTCTGTGTCTGGTACAGGTCTGCTAAAATATACCTAAAGAAATTTTAAAGTTTCGACCGATTATGTAGATTTCGTTTATGTATTCACATGATCAAGCATGGGATATCAATTGCAGTAATCTGATCAAATAAAAATGAGATTACATGCGACAGGGCAAAGAAAAAAGTATGCATTTCTCACTTTAAGATAAATGTTACCAAAATAATGAGAACACAAAGAAGTATGAAGGAATATCCTTGCAGTGTTCAGTACAAGATAACAAATGGTACATGCAATTTCAAGGGTACAGAAAGTTAGATAACAGTTTATAATGATATGCAGATTCTTTGAAGATGCAGACAAGATGAATGATTGTTCTGTACTCCCGTCAAAAACGCTTCAATCAAGGTCTGTCGTTGCTATTGGTAGTAACCCTTGATTGACGAAACTCGACCTCTTCCTCATTGGTAGCTCTTCTAGACGATTCGGCTGTCGTTGTTGGAGGTTTGAAATAATCCGAAAGGCGTAAACGCTTAGATGAAGGAGCCTCCTCTGATGAAGACGATTGATCAATGCGTCGAGAGTGATATGGACAGCAGCTTATTTTACTGGGCAGCACTTCATCTCTCAGAGTAGATGCGCGCTTGGAAAGCCGGTCTTGTCGAGATTTGATTATCCACTCTAGCAGAGAGTCAATGACTTCTTCCTTATCGTCAACGAGACTTTGGAGGTGAGCAATCTCATGTTCGAGTCCCGTAATCTCTTGTTTCAGCGCGGTTATTCGCCTCGCATGCACTAGTAACACGTGATGAAGGCTCGTTGATTCCATCTAAATTTGGGTAATTAAACCATCTATATTGCTGGTTCTTTTGTACACTACACCTGAATGATACCCTCGGATAGCCACTTCTCTCATACTTCTAATCACTATTAGATATTGTATATAACCATGTATATGTCATACATTTGATACGCTTAAGTCAATGCATAGATACGATAGGGGGAGCTGGAGGACGCAACCTAGGAACCCGAGCCTAACTACCTTGAGGTCGGACAGTGCCTGCAAGCTACAGTCATGCTCGCTACCTCCGATTACTCCCTGGGACATAATAACAATCTAAACTCCTTTCAACAGAGCCCAATTTGTGACCAGGGAGGTCAAAATCCCTATAGAATTATAGGTCACTGATAGGGGACGGGTTACAGGAGTCCCTATTACCTTTCCTCGCACCGTAGCACCAACATTCTCACCTAGGAGGGTTCTAGCGCCTCTCCAGTCTCAGAGGACAGACCCCAGCCATTGACTCTTTAAGACTCAATAAGAAATTTGGTCATTCGAAGTGTAGAAACATCTACATTACCAACTGTAAGATACCGGTTATTTGGTTGAACTGATTTAGCATTAAGAACTCTGAATAAGTGCTTATGTTTTGTATCTGGGAGACTTGCATGCGACATAGCTTCACAAACTTCTTCAAACGCGAACAACTACAGAAGGAAGTGTCTGAAGGAAGCGTCTGTTTTCTATCCTAAAACGAAAGTAAAACGAGAAATGCTGAATTCAGGTGTGTTCAATGACTCAAACCGTCAAAACACACCTAGAAAATGTTTCAAATCCTCGATTTCAGTTCTACTATCCCTGATTATAATGAAAGACGTCTTCTTGTGCGTGTGCAAGTCAAAATGGCGTATAGAGGAAGGAGTGACGGACAGATCCGCCCCCCGACCTCAACAAGATGTGATGTCTCTTTGAGGATTTTTGGAGATGCTAAGTACCCCCGCGAGGAAAGGCGGCTGGGCTTGAGGAACTCCTGCTACGCCGCCCACTAACAGGCCCTTCGCCAAAAACTCCAAAAATGGTCTTATAAAGCTGAAATTAGGCTCAAATGAAAGAGAAAAACGCACTCATCAGAAAGTAGCTCATAGTTTTCAGATTTCAAATCATTTCTATTTTTGAACAGCAAGCATAAATAGGGGGAAAGATTATTGGATGAAGATATAATTCTGCGAGTAAACGCGTAGTTCACAATAAGATAGAACCTAGTTTTCAATTTTCCACTCAGTGCAAAAGAGGTTTGACTGAAAAGTCACGTAAACTTCAAACTAAACTAAATCATGAGATGAAAAGTGGTTCGACAAACTCCGAGTTTTACAAACATGTTCTGTGAACCAGGTTTTGAAAATAAATAGTAGACTTTACAAAAATTTGTAACTAAGCTCAACGAAGAAAAAAACAAAATTTCTCAAAAAAAAGAAGTTCGATATTTAGGGTTAAAATTTAAAAACAACATCCCGTCTATTTTGTACTGCATCCAAAAAACTGCTAAATTTCTAAATGCTTTGATTCAGCATTGGAAGTTGCTCGAAATAAATTTAATGGAAAATGGAAGGAGGCGAAACAACCGCCGCCGAAGCAAATCCGTTAAAATCTTTGGGAAGACGACCCCCAAAAAACCCCTCACATCTCTTTTTTAGTACGGATAACTCTTACAAGTGTATTTCCATTTTTGATATATATTCGGTTCCATTTAGATCACAGTTTCAAAAGTTCTGGAACAAAATAGGTCTTTCATTTAGACTATGAATTATTTTCGGGTTATGGCACTGTTCTCGTTCATTTACGCATAATCTCGGCTTTGTGCGACCATTCTCAAGGTTTTTGGCCATGAGATTTCAGTCTTGATGTTCACAGGAAATTTCAGCACATTTTGGCCATGTTCCAAAACATACTCCAAGCAGAAGTTTAGATTGTCAACCTGTCTCAGGGAACAATCGGAGACAGCGAGCATGACTGCATCCTGCATGTACTGGGTTCTTGAGTTCGAGCACCCGGGAGAGCCGAGTTGCCTACATGTGAAAGATGTTCCCGGCCTCGAAAGGTGAAGGGGATATGTGTAGCCTTGGCTGGCAATTGCTGATAACTGCTATGTTTGAGGGAGAGGGGGAAGAAAGGAGGAGGCATAGTGGGTTGAAAGGTTCCTGAAGTGATTTATCAAACCTTCAATTTTTTTCTAGCTCTACTGAATACGAAAAGGCGAGGCGATTTGACGACAGCTTGCGACATCAAGTACGATAAATTTGTGCTACATTTTCGCGCCGATGTTGGAAGCTAAAAAAGTCGATGGTCTGATATTCAAGCATTTTCGAAAAAATATAATATCTTCGGATCGAGGAGAGTGGAATAAGTAAACGGTCCATGTCGAATCTCCCGCTCAAACGCTTTCAATTCATATGGCTAGTCAAATAAAAAGCTTATCACTCCAAAAATGGGGTGAAACTCACTACTGGCACTCGAACCGCTACCCCAATGGCTGGCTATTATGGGTTACCGGAACAAAACCTTCTGAAGCCGGAAAGCGACAAGACTTCAAGATATCAAACTTCTGCTAACTGCTCCGTACCTGAAAGATAAAAATGTACAGTTAACGAATCGCAGATTACACAGAAATGCACTTACCAATTGTTGATTCGAATCAGGTTAGTATTAGTCCTACTTTAACGGGGTCGATGGGAGTACGAAGAATGAACAATAGTGAAGTGTTCCTCAACGCTCAGCAGCTGTGATATCGACGATAAGGTTCTAGAAGGCTCCTTTGCGCCCACCTTCCCGCTCGTTCCGTTGATCTTCAGTTATGGTCAATTTTGCTGGGACCGGAAACCATCTGCGACCATTTCTTTTACGAAGAGGGAAATCAGGCTCCAGGGAACTGGGTGTATCACTTTTAGAAATCAAAGCATGCAAAAGAACACAGGAAGTTTTGTAACTTCCCCACCACAGTGATGAGGGATGGTATCTTAAAATTCCATTGGCCCTTGTCGAAACGAAAAAGGGAAGCTGAACAAGGCAGGAAATTACTGCAGCTCAATTTAAAAATGCCATTCCACGATACATCACGAGCAAGTACAAAAACGAGGATCAAAATAAAACAGAAACAGCAGTGTACAAGAGGTTGGCTATTTCGCGAAGATCAAAATGGCTAACGATTTATATGTAGTGATCAAAGCAAGTTTGTTCTCCTTTTGGACCAGAAGAGTTTCAACGCTGCTAATTCCCAACAGGGACTTTTTTAAATACTGGATACTTTGAGCTTAGATGCATCCTTTACTGATTGTAACGAAAGACATGCAAGTGTAGGCGGCTCTACTCGTCCAGCTGATTGACACAGCTTTCAAATTTCCCTCTTTTCAATGAAATGGAATCAATTGGTTTACGTAATTATTCTATTTTCCACTTCGAAAGAAAAAAACTCTCTAGCCAAGATGCAAGAGAAACTTTCTGCTTTGTCAATTCGCTTACTGCTCACTTATAAGGAAAGGATGGTTATTCGAGTGGCCGTTAAAATGAGATGTATATCTTCTTGAAGAGCAAATAACGCTGACTTCAAGTCTGCCTCACTTATCTGGGGAGTTTTGAACGAGGAGTTATGAGCGTTATAAGAGCAAAACATTGAATGTGCCTCATGGATAAAGTTGCTTATAATATCCTGCTTAGACCTCAAGTGCAGCAGTGATGATTGTCAGGATACTCCGCAATACGTACTCTTGGCTCAAATGTAGCCGTACTCATCGCTGTTTGAATAAGAACAATTCTAACAACTGTATCCTACACGCACATTCGATTTTTTGCACCTACATTTCTCATATCGACTCGCTCAGTGTTGCTCCGCAGATATGGAAGGCGAATTTGGAATTAGTGCTTTATGCCCTCCGAAATGGTATCGTCTCACCTCAAAAGGCCACTTCGATCATACATCCTTCCTTGTTGGATCTCAACCCATCAAAGCGTATGGTGCATTCGTGTAGTGCCGATGTTGATACAGAAACAAAGCGTGTTTTCAAGTCCACGGAAAGATAAACCTTAGAAGTTCCTTTCTCAGCCGAGGAGTATGTTCTGACAACTAATTGCATATAGATGCTATCCGCTGCACTAGACAAACTTCATATCTTTTGGCTGGATATAATACACCCTAAAAACCGTCGTAATTTGCGTTCTTGTTGCTGAATCTGTCTGAAACTTTGCTTATAGTGCGCAAGTTAGCCTACCATGACCCCTGAACGGCTTCTAATCTTGCTGGATTCGAACAAAAAAAAAAAGAAAAATTTGAGTAGGCCCTTGCCGAAAGGTGGACAAAATTATGGAGCCACATAGTTTTGAAGACTATCGCATCCCTTGACTCTACAATTTTTTTTGTACAGTTACATAAAAATATGAAATATTTGCAATATCTTCGACGTGTCATCCTTTTTAAAGAAAAATGATCACTGCATTTTTTGCTTTCAAATGCATAAAAAGTGAATATGCTTATTGGCACTGTCCACTTGAAGTTGAGAGTCTTGAGCTTTTCGTATACGACAGTAGGATCCCCTATCAAGCCAGTGCCCAATCGCCTCAGCGTGAAAATCGCTTCCGAAGAGTGAAGAGGTGAGGACCAGAAGTCGGATCTGCCTCCTCCAGTAATGCCCGCCCATCCGTGCGCGCCCATTCAATCACCGTTGAGGAAAGCCGGCTTGTGTGTTTTCTGGAACGGGGATTATCGGGGTTTCGCGCATTTTCGACTTCATATTCCGAATCGGGACATGAGAAGTCCCTGAAACGACAAAAACGTGGTAGTCGAAAATCTGAGTGGACGGTGCCTTCCAACACACAAGTGTTTGAGGAGTTTTCAAACTCTTGTTCATTTCAGATGAGAGTCATGGAATTCACTGAGCCTTTGTGATAAATGAGTTGAAGAGCGCTTTTGTGAACTCTGCGTAATCGCTGGTATGGACGGACAGACTTCAACCTCAGCATAGATTTGCCATGCTTTTAAACCAAAAAACTCAACTTTTTGAGCAACAGAAAGTGCATAGTTAGGAAAGTTTTGAAGTTGGCATTATGGTCCAGCTGTAGTTGTCACCCACTGAACGTTAAGTGGTGCACCGCATAATCATAGCCAACTCAGATCACGAGTTAGAACAGAAGACGCTCAATCAAAAATTTTAGCTAGTCTCATTCATTGAGTAAAATGTGGCATGAAACAGAGGAAAACTGTGATGAAATATGACGATTCTACTGCTCAGAGAATATTCTGGTCTAAATAGCGACTGTATCACTAGAAAGAATCTGAAAGTTGTTGCGAAAGTTGCATCACCATGTAGGCAACGTAATAAATCAAGCCCAGCGCTTCTTAAACATTGCAAACTGGGTTTTGTGGTTTCAAAGCGGGACGAGAATCTCTTGAGATTGGAATCTGTCCGTCCATATCAGCGATTACGCAGAATTTACAAAAGCGCTCTCTTGGCTAGTAACAAAATAAAGTGCAATGCATATGAGGATTATTACTTTTCTCAATCTTAATTCCATCGGAAACCTCTCGAACAATTCGATGTTGAAGAGGTCTCACAAAGGCAAGGCATTTTGAGTCCTAGTGTTGGAAAATGAAAAGCTAAGATAAGCATAACGATAACCAAACTCATTGGAAGAAAATTTCTACTTGTTCACAAACAAAATCAGCATAAATAATAGCAAACTTCCTCTATCTATCTAAAGAGCAAAAATCAAAACATTGATCATATATAAGCATTTTTCAGATTATTATCTCTTGGACTGTCAAATATAAGTTAAGAGACAAGCAATCAAACTGGCTGCGAGTCTCACTCAAGCTTGGCCCCCTTTTTTATGATTAGACTGACGCAAACGCAAGGTTTTGTCGTCTTAGTATTTACAAAGGAGTGATCTCCATCAGACAACTTGTCAATGAAACTCCTCTGAAGTAGCTTGATTGTCCTCTTTTCTTTGAACCTCGGCATTATAATGATGTAGTTCTATTTGCTAGTTGGTTGTGCCAGCAGGAGGTTTCGGCGAAGCTTTATTAGTAGAGCGGCCTGATGTTTCGAGCAATCCTCGTCTTCAGAGGCCGTAGCTCTACCGCTACCGCACCGATGGTGGTGTGCGACCGCCTTCTCCGAATTAGTAGTGCAAATTCGGAGTTTCATTTCCAGTTTTGGAAATTTCAACTCCTCTGAAGCTTCAAAATTCCAAAGCAGTGTCAGTTTTCTAGATTTTTCTGAGCCATTCACAGAGCAAACCTAGATTAGATCATGCTATAGAAGTGAAGAGATCTTCAACTGTACAACATAAGGACACCATCATTTTTGGAATGAACTTTTCTAAATATTCGTGAAAAGGACTCAGATCTCCGCTTGCACACGAGTGCCATTTAGTCAGTTCATTGGACATGCGTCCCATAATACAGTTTCGCACTGAGATTATCTCTTTCTCATTGTTAGTGTTAACATAACACTGTAAACTGCACGCTTGAAAGAAGCAGAATGAAGAGGGCTGAAGACTATTTTTGCAGTTTCTTTCATAACTTTACTCTGTTAGGTGGCGCACTCAAACTTTGGGGACAAGTAGAGCGTAATGTATGCTACAGCTGCGCACAAACTGCTGAATTTTAAATCAGAAAAAACCCAGTGATCGAAAACTTTTGAGGTTATAAGCCAAAATAAAGCTGGAGTTATTCGGCTCAGCAAGAAAGATATAAAGTTTAGGGGCAACTCGAGAATTTGTGATCTAACAAAGTCAAACGAGTCGCTGTACGGGGTTGGGGGCAACATTCAATGACTACTAAGGAGTCAAAACCTCAAAATTCGCCGAGACTTCGCATAGTGAGGTTATTTGGCCTACCAAACACGAATATCATATTCGTTTGTCAAATCAACGCTTGCTTTTTCTTTAGGGTAAGACCCTGTACCACAAACTTACATTAACCCTACGAAAAGCTCTTACTACGCAAGTCAGTATCGTTTCGTGATCAGCGTGTCGGATATCCCCCACCCCCGCCCTCCACCTCTCCCTAATCCAAGTTTCAGCTCTGTAAAATTTCATAAATCTTACCCTCATACCTACCACCCTCACCGCGACGTCGGAATATGGTAGAATGAATAGCAGCTGCCCTTGTAGCTTATGCCATATCCTACATGATGGCAAAATTTGAGTGCGCCATGTTGATTAACAGAGAAGTAACTGAGAAAGTTGCAAATCTTAGCTTCCAACCTAATAGAAGGAGTGCTTGGAGTTTGAAGAAAGAGAATATGCTGTTATACATGGAAATAGGCAAATCAGCGACTAGAGAGACGAGCAGAAGCACTAGAACTCGATAAAAAAGGAAAAATCAGAATGTCTCGTATCGATTAGGATGTCACTCTATAGGACCTGGATGTCTCGGAGAGTCCGTAAGCGCGCATGCCGAAGGTATCAACTTTCGGTATTAGCACGTTTCTTGGAGCAGAAGTGAAAAAAACCAGATTAGTTGGTACATTTTCAGTCATCCTTACAAAAAGCAAGCAAGCTAGCTATTGGAATTCCTTCTATCTTCTCAAAAAATTAACAAAATCAATGCACGTTTTTTGAATCATAATTTCTGATTAAGATAAATCTTTTCCAAAACAACCTTTTTGAACGCATTGAAAACTGTTGCGAACAGCAAACCTTTTGGCTTTATAACGCATGCTACTGTTGAATCGCAACCACTCTGAGAAGATTTTCTCCCCAAAAACCCCAAAACATTTTTCTAGAACCCTTAAGCCAAAAGACTTCAGGGGCATCGTCCGTCCCTAAGTTGGGAATCTTGAGCTTTTGGCAGATTACGACAGGATCCCCTATCAAGCCAGTGCCCAAGTCGCGACTCAAAACGTCGCCTCGGAAGCGAGAAAATCGCTTCGGAACAGTGAAGGAGCATGAGGACCCTCCGCCCCTCCAGTAACGCCCACCCATCCGTGCGCGCCCATCCAATCACCGTTCCAGAGAACCGACTTGTGGGTTCTCTGAGACCGGGATTGTAGAATTTTCGCGGATTCTCGACTTTATATTCGGAATCAGGGACATGGTGAAGTCCCTGAAACGACAAAAAACGTGAAAGTCGAAAATCTGGGTGGACGGTGCCTTTAACTTACTCTCAAACGTACTAAGATAGCGCAAACTTTGCTCATTACATAGCCGATTCGGTTGTGCAATGGAATAAAATTTGGATCTCACAACATTCTGTGAGAAAATTCTGCAAAAAATACACAAAATTGGAAACACCCAGTTTTTTTTCAGCATTTTGGATTTTGGTTTTTCGATCCAAAAAATTGCCTTGTTGGTATTTCAATTTCTCTTCTCTAATGACGAGGAAATACTGTTTTCCTATGATTAGTTGTACTAGACCAACTCTAGGTGCAGAGCGAAAGTTGTAAATCATAGTTGCCACATAAAAATCTCAGGCTTTTTGCCTGAGATTTTTATGTGGCGAAGATGGGCCTTAGCGACCAACCAAGTTTGAGCCAAAATTTTTCTGTTCAAGATCTGCCAGAAATCCAGTGGATAAGCTTTTTGTAGCATAAAATTCGCAATCATTATGCATATATTTGAAGAAAATTCGATCACTTTTCTTGGATTTAGAACAAGGAGCGTGAATGCAAAGAATCTTATATTTCGTCACTTGCCTTTGAAGGCATAGAGCTCCAGTTTGAACATAGATTTGCGAAAACGAAAACACATATCAGAAACTAGAAGAATGGGCTTTCAGACCTAATAAGGGGTTTTGGAAAAGAAGTTTTTTTTGAGAAGCAGCTTTCTTAAGAAGGGGTTAGAAGAACGTGCATTAGTTATGTGACAATTTCAAGTCTGAAGCGGCATATAAAAAAGGCTCTAAATGTGAAATCAATTGAACTTTCATAGTTCACATCAGCGGAGGACATCAACAGACATAAATCCTATTTTTTTCAGAGGTCACTTGTATATTAGCATGTAACATTCTACAGTGTCGTAGGACCCTTCACCTAGCTATTAAATGTAGATTAGACAGGCTCAGATCAAACGTCCTCGATTTTATGAAGATGACTGATTTCTAACTTACTTGCGAGTGTCTGCATTTCTTTTCCATCCTCGACCGCTCGCTATGGAGCATGTCGCACTCAATTATACTTTTCGTGAGATTTGTCGGAGATCCAGTGGATTGAGCAGAGCACATCATGACATCTCTTCTCCAAAAGTTGTGCAAGCTACGGTGGAGAAGCAGCCGCAGAGCCTGTACATGTAAGTCAAGATCATACATGAACATACCAAGATTATTGTGTCTCGAAAAACCTATAACATGCCTGCGCACATGAGCCAAAAGCTCTTCCTCGTCAAGCAGTAAAACCATTAGCGCTTTGAATCCTGGGCACAGAGGCTTATGAGAAGTACCAGTAGAGTAGTCGGATCAAGTCACTCCGGTTGTACACTATAATGAAATTTGCAGGTTCTGTACAGGACTTGAATAATGGACATAATTTAGAGATCAACTATATACCCACTTATTGTAATGATCAGAGAGCACTCGCGCGAGAGAGACGCAGGTGCGTCGCGGGCGTGAGCGGCCTCAATTAGATCACAAAACCCCGCCCTAATGGTGCCAAGCCAGTTGAATCAAAGGTTAGATTTGATGAAGTCGTAATTTAGTGTTGTAAAGCAGAGGCACAGGTGTGATAGTCTGATCGGAGCCAAATCTCATAACCTTCTCACTTTGGAGCAAACTGCCTTTCCCTTTACTTAATTGAGCAAAAAATACTTTCGTTAGCGACAGACACCGGCAACACACATCCGAGAAACCGAGAAAGATTTACAGGTGACTGTGGTATTCCAGCAGAGTCCGTTTTCTAATACTTAAGTAATTAATTTCAAGAAGGCTGGTCCGAAACTGCTGATCGATGGCCAAAAAAACGTGCTAATCTAAACGAAGCAGCTGAGGTCAGTTAGGCTGACATTGCATGAGACCACTAAATTCGAAACGGAGTAATTTTTCCAGAAGTCCTAAGGAAAACTTCCTGGGTTTTGTGCTGTACACAAAACTGTTCAGCTTGTTTTCTTATGATCGTTGGCGTGGGAGGAAGCGTACAATACCTACATATGGTCCCGTACTTTCGTATCAACAAATCTGACTCGCCTAAGTCAAATACTATTGCTGCGACAAAACTGTAGCATTGATCTTTCCAGGCGCTAAAGATAAATACCGAGCCAACAAAAAAATGTACATAAGAGCTAAGCTTTCTATAGAACTGCTGGAATACCAATTTTCCATCTCCGCAAAATGTTTCGTAGTTTGAATGGGATATGAGATTGATTTTTGGCAGACAATGTTGAAAGTGTAATGGTGAGAGGCAGATACTGTGATTTCCTAATGAATCTAAACAAAAGTTCGGAAAAGCAAAAGATGAGTGAGCTCTAAAATTTTCTATGGAAGAACTGCATGAAAACGCATTTTTTAGTACACGTTCTGCGATGTTGTAAACAATACAGCAAAGTGTGTTGGACTGAGTACGAGCTCTGCGTTGTTTAAGGAAGGGATGCTCAAAAATTATTACGGACGGAGAAGCTCATGGATTTCTTTAAACAGGAGACAACAAGGTTAATTGCAAGAACTGGAACTTTCATGTACTACGGGGTCAATAACACATAATATGTAAAAAAGTCCTTTAAAAAATTTTATTAATTATAAACGAACATTGCCAAAAAAGTACAGAGAATGAAACCAAAATTGATAATCATAAAAAAGTAAAATGTCATGGTTCTGTTCTGAAAGGATAAAACGATGTTGATTATGCATCTCCAAGTTGACTTCCAAACTTCTGTCCTTCCCTTTCCATTTTTTCTAATAAGGCGGCCGACTACGGCCCTAACCAGCCGTAAGTGGACAGAGCAGATCCTGTTACGCGTGCCTCAATGCTGCTCCTTGCGTTAAAACGGAAAGGCGCTTTGCAAAGTATAAGAGACCTCGGTTTTGATTTATACAAATAACATATTTTGGATGATATTAATAACCATGTTTGCCAAAGTATACATGCAACTAACGGTATTCATACCAGTGCTGGACCATAGAAGGCACAGGTTACGAATGCCACTAATCCTTCGTCCTTATTTGGCTGACATAATCTTTCAATTATTAGGTCGTCCCGAAAGTTTGTCGGTTTTTCCTCACTATAAGACTACGCACAATGAGGATTTGAACGAGCTTCAGCATGCATTCGATGCAGCTTTTCCTTTTCTTTTTTTTGGTCATATTTTCAAACCACAAACCTGTATGCTTTCTTTGATAATTGCTGAAATTCTTTACCCGTCATTTTTGCCTGCCCTAAGTTGGGCTAATTTTGAAAGTTTCATTCCAGAGTTTCAGAAAGGGTTGAGTAAAAGTTATAAGAGCAATTCTCGGACTACAAAATGATATTTTTGGATTCCACTAATCTACTATTTTCGCTTCAAAAAATTATTTCTTCGTAGGTCTCGATTTTTGGCAAAGTCATGAACGAACTGCAGCAAAAACATAAAAACTTCTGAAGTTTCTGCAAATTACAACATGATTCTTATTGAACACTATTTATGTAAAATTATCCAGTTCGACTTGCTTTGAAAAAGCAGCTTTTTTGGAGTTTTCGGTACTTTTACGTGGCAAACGTAATCAAAAAACCGCGGTTTTTATTCAATAAATAATTATAACGGACTTGGTATAAATGTGACCCACGTAATCTAAGGCCCGTATGCACGTATATCCCCGCGGGGAGGGGATGTGCGCTTAACCATTGAAATGATCCCCGCTGGGGATCCCCTCCCCTCCCCGCGCGAACCCCCGTATGCACAAAGACAATATCGTACAAGGGATCCCCTGTGGGGAGGGGAAGTGAACCCTCTTATGCACAAGAGGGGATCAAGCGGGGAAATCACCTTGCTTTCAAATTTTCTATGAAAAACTCTTTCTTATTTCATATTTTGACTGCAACTCATCTTCATCTCCTCACTTCAATTAATTTAGGGTTGCGGAATGTGCGTATGTAGTGACTGCGCTCGGGGCGCTAAAAATGATTTTTTTCTACTCCCATTATGTTCCTGCTTTCTTGGATGCTGCCCACTTTCGTTCATGCTGCTCCATTTCAGCGTCAAAATGTTGAACTATAGAAGTTGATGTGTCTCTGCAAGGGAATGAGTAGAAGACGTTATGCTGCCGAAAAAGGGGGGGGGAGGTGCCGCGCGGACGCTCAAAGCAGTATTCTAACACATAACAGAAGCTGCAAATTGTGCCAGCTCTCCATAAACGCTGTAACTATCAGCCGCATATCGTCGTTTATCCCAGGGGAATGATCCCCAGCAGCCATCCCTGCTATGCACAAGGGGAACGCTGGGGAGGGGATCACTCCCCAGGGGATTTCTACTCAGAAATAGGCAAATATGCTACTTTCTAGATTTTTTCGAGGCTACTTATGTTAAAATACAAGATAATGGCAACATGTCATGAAATATGAAAGTTACAGTGTTTATATTCATTCAGCCTATATAGTTAAAACTATTATGTTATATGAAAAATGCGCAAATTTCCTGAATGATCAAGAACTCCTACAAATAATCGAAATTGGCAGCTATTGTTGCTCGGATTTCTTCTCAATAGGCGAATATAGAAAAGAAAGACAAATTGCAAGCCAAAGGTCGCTGAGAGAAGAACCCGGCTTTCAAAGAAAATCCTCCATCAAAATGAACGAAATGCTTGATAATGACTGAGCAGAACCAGAGTCTCCGCGTCTCTGGCATGATCTACACCATCGAACCCCTACTTCGTTGCAGGGGATGTCGATCCCCTCCCCCGCGTTATTGAGTTGAATTCGCGCATACGGGGTTCGAGTGGGGGAAGGGAAGGGATCCCCTCCCCCACTCGAACCCCGTATGCAGTGGGGTTCGCTCGATCAATACCTCTGAAATCATTCACACCATCCCCGCTTAGGTGCAGGGGACGGGATCGCTCCCCTCCCCTCTGTCATGGCGGGGTTCGGCGGAGGGGATCGTTCCCCTGGGGATCCAGCTCCCCTCCCCTCCCCAGCGGGGACGTACGTGCATACGGGCCTAAAACGGTTACAATATAGCCAAAGCTTTGCTCTACATAAAAGTTACCAGCGCTCCCTAAAAGTGTCGGGATAGAAGTTTTTAAAATTCAGGAAAGGTTTGGCGTTCTGTTGAGCTAAAAAGCTATGGCGATAACATCGCAAAGACAGGGCAAGTTAGAGAGCAAATATAGCTGTAAGAAAGAAGATGAAAATCTAAATCAAATGGTACCTAGAACGTTTATGGACTGGTGTTCTGTAAGTTTCAGTGAACGATGAATAATACCGACAAACCTTTCGGGACAACCTAATATTTCATCGTACTTCTCCTGAAAAGCGCTAGCAGTACTTATGAAAATGTTATACTCTATTTCAATCCCAGAAAACCACCAGTTTTGTCAAAAAACATCTCTACGGCATCGGGACCTGCTCAGGGATAAGCTAGCAAGGCCTTCTTGAAACTGCTTACCTTGTAGACGAAATGAGTTCCGCGAAAGCGAGCCAAGAAAATATTCACAGGCAATTTTTCTGCCGAAAACTTATCGGGCATTGGGAAAAGCCCATCACGATCGAAAGAGTAGATTGCATTGCGGTCCATACATGAGCAGCGTACTTTTGTATTTATATGAATCTGAGAAGGAATATGTGTGTAATGCACATAACTTTAAACTTTCTTACGTCAGCTTCGAGAACCACTATGCGCAGGAACGTGTCGCCACGCAGTCCGAACCAGTGCGACACCAGGGCGCACATCAGTGGGTTCATTTTCTCGGTTAGGGAACTTAGAATAAAAGGCCCTGAAAATGCAAAGGTTTTTGCGCAAGCCATTGCTGGAAACAAGCAAAACTCAAAGTGGAATCATGCAAAGACCATGAAAATGCATAGATTTCCATGCAGGTATAGCTTATAACCTACTCCTCACCCACGGAAACCTAACAAAAAAATGTTTATATTCTTAGCTGATGAATTGAAAAGGCATTAACAATATAAAAAGCACATAAATCAAGAGATTGTTGACAGCAGGCCTGCCACACTGTCATCTGCCAGCTGCAATCCGTTAAAAGTTCCGTTTCTGTTTTTGCGTATCAAAACTTTTTCCAAGTACCTTAGGTCATCACTAATAGCATCCAAAGCGTTCTTCACCTCCTGCCGACCTCATCGCAAATTATGAAACAATGTGGAGGTTTGAACGCCATAATGGCACACTGGAAAATCGTTATTTCTTGTTGGAATCATCCTACATATATTGCTTGATCTGGTGATACACTGCCCAATATGTAAAGCAGCTGCGAGACGTTTTACT